TTGCTTTTCTGCATAGGAACTGGTGACTAAAGCCATTTAGTGACTGCGGGCTACATACCGTTATTCGGTAATCTCAAACATTCTCAGATATCTTTAACTATAAAAAAAAAACATAATGCACCTCCTTTAATGCTTTCCAACAAGTCAATTAGAGTACTAATTTTAAAATGTTATAATTTCCTTTAAAGTGTCTCTGATTTCAATGATCGCCAAGTCATTCTTTTTAATCGTAGCACATTTTATCAATTTTACTGGTGTGAAAGTAAAATTACTACAATTTTACTGATTTAGCTTAAAAATGTTGAAAAAAAAAAAAAAAGGATAATCTATTTAAAATCTGAAACCTGAGGCTACCCCTCTACTAAGAAATTAAAACATATTGATTAGAGTAATTACAAAATTATTACCTATCATTTGTCTTCAATGTTATTTTGATGTGTAAATTAACTGACAAGTATAATAAAAACACCCGCTAAATGTATCAGTTATCAAATGCTAAATGTAAGAATATTATCCATTTTGACACTCGGATCTTCTATAATAACAATGAGAGTCAAATCTTTTGAACAGTCAAATATATTTGACACTAGCTGATTGTTTCGAAGCTATCCGTTTAGGTCTAAGTGGACTGGCCAACAGAACTACCACTTATATGAAATCCACAATAATGTTTAGAGAAAAGTGTTAATTAAAAAGACAGGTGAGTGGTCCTCTTTTAGTTTCCACCCACAGTAATTTTTGTCTAGAGTTGAATTTGGAAATATTCTTGCCGAAGGAAATGTGAATCACCCACAGAAATACCCATTGGTGGATTGTGAAGAAGCTACATTTAAATCACAGAATATCTGGATCATTCTAATCAGACTGTGTTTTCTTTTTCCTCATCATTTTTGTGTTTTCTGTTTGTTTGGAAACTGATTTCTACCATGATTTGGTCACTTCTTGGTTGCGTCTTGCTCTGGTACAGGTCATTTCTCCTCTTCACCGGTTCTTAGTTTTGTAGGTTTGGTCTCTTTGTTCCCAGCCTGTTTTGGATAATAAAATTGGTTGTCTACCTCGGGATGTTTTGTAAACACCATGGTTCAGTTTATGTTCACTTTGGGGACATTTTGTACCTGCTTTGACAACCAGCGGTTTTAAATAAGTGTCCTATAATCTACTCGCAGACTACTGTAAGGAAAATGCGTTATGAATATAATAGCTATTACTTAGCCTTCTGCTGGAGGTTGCTCATAGTTTCGGTTTAATCGGGGGTCAAAAAGTGTCAAATTTTATAAGACTGAAATGACCCAAACAGGGATCTGAACCACAATCTTAGGGAAATGGGTTTTATTTGAATTATATTTGTTTAGCATTTATTTTTCTTTACAATGATACAGATAATTAACTACCTAAAGAAACAAACCGGTGCTCCATGGTTAAGTACATGGCTATGAAATGGAAGGAAGTTGGGACCAAAAGGAATCGGAATGGGGTTATGAGTTGTTCTTCACTCCTTAAGTCTCAAAGTTTTGTTTTATTAAAAATATTAACCTGTTTTTTTTTTGTTGTTGTTGTTTTTTGTATCTGAAATGTCTTACACAGTCTTAAAACGTATTAAGGACCAGTGAGTTTCTGCTTGGCAGTGCTGTAGTCCTGCTCGGGTTTCTAGAGTCGGAGAGACGAGATCGTTTCTCCTCAGCTTGACGTTGATGTGCTTAGAGCTCGCCATACAGGACAAAGTTTAATTTAAAAATGGAAGGATTTCTGGTGTCATGTTCATAGTTTATTACCTTCATGGTTTTACTTGAGCCATTTTAGTGGGTGTGTGAGAGGACTAATATGTTTTACGGGAGGCCAGCATGTGTGGGGCTCAGTCGGGGTAACGGCTTATGCCCCTCTGTCTGTCTGCTGGTAACGTGTTCACTGCTGATTGTCAGCTGTATACTCAAAGGGCATTGTTATGAAGAGAAGTCAGCTGCTGTTAAGATGGCACATTTTTTTAATTTTTATCTCCTACATTTAATTGTGCATTTTCAGATTTCTTTTCTTAAAATACACGTTTTTAAAATGGTGCCAAGTAAGGGTCCTATTACCCAACAACCCTGTGCTTTGTTGCTGAAGGTTTTGTTTCTGCTACTTTGTGAAACTGCACTAAAACTCTGCGGCCTTCAGTTTTTTTCTGTAGATCTGACTTGGTACATTGGGGATTAGCTGTAGAGGTTCACACAAGAACTACATGTGTTCAGCGAGTCTTTGTGGATCATTCTACGTTGGTAGGAACGTATAAATATGCGCACAAGGAGTCGGAGTTGTTGACTCACTGGCCAACACACTTGCCCGGTGTTATTAGAAATGTAGGGCACATGGTGTCAGGTTAATTCCAAATTCCCGTTTTCTTTGGTTCAGCTGGAGTTTATGAACTCCAGACGTCAGTTTTGTATACAGCAACATATTCCAGCAACACCATATCAACATTTCTAAAATCCTGATTTTCAGTCTTAGCTTTAGTTTGTATCCGTTTGAAACGATGGGGAATATGCACATAGCGAATGTATCAATCCTGCCTGATTTTTAGATTGCGTTTTAATACATTGATTTGAGTTGATTTAACCCCCTTCCACCCACTTCCCTGCAATTTTCAAATTCATTCCTTGTCAAATGTGTTTAATCTGAATCTCGTCCTAATCATATTTGTCGTAATCATTTATTTTTTTCATCTATTTTTTTTATATTTATTTGCTTATGCTTGCAAACATTTCTAATTTGAATTGTAAGCCGTTCATTTTGTTGTTGAAGTGCACAATGGCTAAAATCATTTTTTTTTTTTTTTTTTTAAATGTGTTTGACAAATCTGTGAGAGATTACCTTTTATTTAATGGCCTGGTCTGGGTAATTGAAAATAATGTTTTGGATATTTTCAGAATCCACTGTCCAGATGAACAGATGTTGATATTTTCAGTTTTTTTTACCACTGTAAGTGTTTATTACTCAGTTTTGGTTTCACAGACTAAAATAACACATGATGTTCTGTCGTGTATTTATTTCTGCTTTAGATTTTGTCTTAAATAAATTATGTTCTTTACTTTGTCCTTTTTTTTTTAGTCTTGTACAGCCTAACTGGGGATCATGCATGAGATTATTAGAAACACTGTAGGATGTTTTTATATTATTCCTAACAGTTTTTATGTAGGGTTGTTATGCAGATTTAAGACCCAAAATGTGATTCTTTGTTCCAACTTTCTAATCTCTGGGGGGTTTGAACTCACTTAGCTATCCTCCTCGTTGTGCTTGGTAGCAATATTGTCTGCGCATAAGATTCTCCTACTGCAAAAAAAAAAAAAAAAAAAGACATTATGTTAAGACTATTTGTTAGAGGTGCCAGTTAATGTCCCCAAGCACTGTTGGTGTATCGAAGTGCCTTGGAATGCCTTTCATTTTTCTTACAGCATACAAGTGCAGAGACACACAGAGGTCCATGCCACATTGCTACTCATCAAACTGGGAAAGACGAGAGGACATGCTTTACAAATGAGACAAATTGGTTTTGATCTTTCTATTTTAGTAAACGTCTACAAGAGAGCGCCTACATACGTTCTAGAATCAAGAGCAATAATTAAATAGTTTAAAAGACCTGGAACTAACAAACAATGATGGACAGAAACTTGAGTTTATTATGCCAAAAACATAGGATGGTAAAAGCAGGGGAAAAACCTCCAATATTCATTTTCAATGGATTATAAATTGTTTCGAAGAGCAATTTATTTTAAGGCACATCTTGACCGTGGCCATGCTCATGAGCAACAAGGAAAGTAGGGGGAGGGAAGAGAAAAACTAAATTCTGAAAAGATTTTTACTCCGAGTCGAGAATAACATAATGGCACTTAAAAGTCCAGTTTTTAGTACAGAACTCCAAGGTCCCAAACAAGTTAATGTTCAGTTAGGAAAATGAAGTGGCTGTTGTGGTTCAGCGTCTTTTGTGTGTATGAACCGTTCCACATTCTTGCTCAATCTGTAATATTGATTTTTGGCAGTCAGCGGTCATTGATTTACTTCTCCTTGTTAACCGTCTCCATTCTCTGGGGAACGGTTTGTGGATTCAGGGATGAAACGACAAACGTTCCCAAAACTCCTCTCAATCTGCGCCATTCTCTGGGAGTAACATCGGGGCAGTTAATACAGGCCGAGTGCCATTGTAGCTGTGAGCGGGAAAACTGGGCCAATGCATTCATTCATAGGTAGACAGATCAATAAGACAGCCTCCAAAACAAACCACTGGAGAGGCTCCTTTATTCCTCTTGAGTGGGGCCTTTTCATAGAGGGCCCCTCTTCGTAGAGCAGAGACCCCCGCCCCTCCGTCGCCACAACACAGCCGAAGAACTGAGAAGCTTCTGAAGGGGTCGACGCTACAAAAGCGGGCTTTCTGTCTAGCACAGAAGGGCTAACCCATCCCGATGTCGATTGTGAGAAGCGGCTGCCATACTTACATGATTGACCTGACCTTCTCCTGTGAATGGCCGAAAAGAGAGCACTTTACATTGCTTGACCTCCTGTAACCTAGTTTTAGGTGTTTTTTCTCTCTTCATTGATACCTTCAATTAAAAGCAAGTGAAAAGATTTATAAAAAAAAAGCTTTTTTTTCGTAATAGCATGCCAATTACAGAATGACTGAGATCATAGCAATTATCCTATATATAAAACATCCAGTCATATTCTTTTCTAAACCGTCACAGCAGATACAAAGGCGGTGCAAAACACTGAAGTGTGTTTACAGATGTAAAGTATGTTTTTTTTTTTAAGTCATTTTAAACTTGCTTTTTAGAACAAACGTAGATTGTGAGTCGCATCAAAATTCCACAACGCCACCTTTTTAATGTGCATAGAAAAAATATTGTTCATGACAAAGTTTTGATTAGGAGGTCGAACAATTTTCAAATGATTCACACTTTCTCTGAGTAACAAAGAAACCACATTTGGAACAGATTCATGTTAAATAATGAATGACAAACACAAGTGAGAAATCCACAGTGGACATTTCGTTTTAATGGTAAAATATAGAAGGTTCAAGGTTTTTATTTGTCATTTTTGCAGAGATCTGAGAAAAAGCATGCAGAGACACAGGGCAGAACTCTGTCACAGGTTGCTAAAAGAAATCAAAAATAATTATAGTCAACTGATGAATCTGTTTAAAAATTGTAATAGAAGTTGAAGTATTTTTAAACAAACAGAGGCATTGGAGATATCAATGAAAGTAGTAATGGCAGCTGTAGGCAACAAGTAGAAAGTATTAGAGTAGTGTTGATATACAATGACAAGTGCTTTATATGCAACCTTAAAAATAAATGTCATGACTATGTTTTTAAAAAACCGTTTCAATGTTGTATATAAAACAGTAATTAAATTGTCTTTGTTTTGTGTTCGAACGGTTGGGAGCAACAAAAGTTATGACGCAAAGTCAACAGCAGAATATTTTTACAATGATCTGAAACAATAGAGTGTTTGATGATGATTTAATATCATCAAATAAGTTGAAGCAAACGCTTCTTTCCCAGAACTCATCCAGTAATAAAGCTTTCTGGATTTGTCTCGGACTCAACCACCTTCTGGCAGACGGGGAAAGAAATGGACAAGAAGTCCTTATGAACTATATTAAAATCGCCACTTAGATCAAATCTGAGGTCTGCTGAAACGGTCTCACTGTAATCACTACTGCTCTTACCTTTTTTTTTTTCTCTCTCTGATTAACACTGTTGCTTTGGGGTTTCCACGCTTCATTGTTGTGTGTCTTTAATTAGCAGCCTCCTGAATGACTGCGCCAGAGACAGAAAGCAGCAGTCCAGCTGTGTGTGTGCGTGTGTGTGAGAGCATTATCCTATCTCTTTAAAATAAAAGGCTGTCTTTAAAAGCTTTTGGAAAGCATCCTTGTTGCCATGCAATGTATATTCACATTGCATGAACTAACAGAGTTTTCCTGTTGACGAAAACCAACTGACGAGTTTTCCTTCCCAGCACTCAAGTGAGGATAAACCGTCCGGTCCAGACGTAATTGTCAAACCACTGATTTCCAAAAATCCCTAGCTAATTTTTCATGGAATTGACAAAAATATTTTAAAAGATCATTCCCTCAGTGTGAGTCCAACCGTGTCTGCCTCCTCCACAACAAAAAGCAACAGGGTGGACTGCCCTCTAGTGCCACCGCCTGAGTGTGACACAGTGTGGAAGAAGGGGGGGGAAGGGGGAACAACATATGCAGCATTAGCAGAGTGCCTGCTTCTGCTTTTCAGCGCCGGCCAATCACAGAGCCCAGCGCTAACTCGTTCATACATCAGGCGGAACAAGGTGGCGAATGCAAATGCTCTGGGATCAAGGTGTCTCCTTGGTAGTGGTGCAGCACTTGTTTCCTCCCTTTCATGTTAAAATGATGACGGTAATAATGTGTCCAGAGAACGGGCCACGGATTGAGCCAGTGGAAGGATGAGAGTAGATGGGATCTTTTGATATGGAACGCCGTGTGATGTTGTTGTCGTTTATGCAGCACTCCGGATGACCGTTCATTAGGAGGATTTTTGGCACTTTAGTGAATGCGGGACTTGAACTAGAACAAAGGTGCTGCAGTGTGCACATAGTGTTGTTGCCTTTTGAGGGGGTTTTCCTTTTTAGGTATCTCCAATGTCAATATAATATCAATAAAATACATATTATTTAAAAAAAATCATTTTATTCTACCCATACACTTTAAGAAAAATGTGGAACTGGCAATTGCTTTTTTTCTCCCCACTTCTCTCCTCTACGTGCTTCAAGCTTGGTGAAGCTAATTTTCACTGTTATATTTTATTAGGAAAATAATGCAACTTGCATTCATGTAGTAGTTAAACTTCTGGTTCACATAGCTTTAAAGCCAGCTGATGTTTCTGATATATTCACGTAGTTGGGTGTCTTTGGAAACTGTGAAATAGAACATATATAAAACTAATCTTAGTTCTAGAGACCAGCTAAATTCATTTGTCCACCTGCTGATTATTTTCTTTTAATCTAGATAGATTAGTGCATCAGTTTAGTTTACCTGCAAAGTTTTACCTTGTTGATATTGGTAAGGGAACAAATTTACAATATTTGTTTTGCTCTGTTCATATCTTTGGTCTTGCCTCACAAGAAACAAATTACTTCACTAATATAACTTAAATAGTTCTCGTTACTTCAAAGCAATGCATCACATTTCCCTGAAAAATAAAATCATCTTCAGAACATTAGAAAAAATCTGAAAGGGTCAATTGCCCTAATCCTGATTATAAGTGAGAAGGTCACACATTGATCCGCCGCCGCCTCAGACATCGTCTTTGACCTCTCGCTTGCAGGATGACGGGGGAGAAGTGTTGGCAGGTCACTGCAGTCCTTTGGAGCGTTCCCTTGGGGAGCTGACCCTGGACACTCAGAAACAAGCCTGTCGCGCTGCAGACACATGTTGATTGTCCGTTCCCTCCAGCAGCATTGTCTGTTGGAAAGACAGGAGAGTGTACATTTTTATTTATTTTTTTTTTTTTGGGGGGGGAGGAGTGGGGGCAGATACATCAAGGACAGATTAATGTTCTTTATATTTAAAGTTTGGATGCTTTTTGGTAAATTAACATTGCTGCAAAAGCATTCATGACCCTTAAGGTTTGTCACATTTTTTGATGTTACACACACAAACCTAAGCATATTTTGTTGTGGTTTTGAGTGGTAAAAGTATAAAGTAAATATGTCTTCCAGGTAATATTGTCCAGTTTTGCAGATTTATGAACTGGAATTTTTGCACATTAAAAAAAAAAAAAAAACATAGAATAAGTTCATTTAAACTGAACAGAGTGTCTGTAAAAACATCATTTTTTAATGTGGTTCAGCCCAAGCCACATTAACTCATGGACAAGCTTTGATCAAAACCATTTGATTTTATCCTTAGCTGGATGTTTAAGATTGCAGTTCTGCTTGAAGGTGACCGTCCACTAATGTCTGGAGTCTTTTGCAGACTCTGGCAACACTAACCTCTATTTAGCTTTATCCATTTTCCCATCAACTCTGATCAGCTCCCTGGGCCGCGCTGACAAAAGGCATAACGCCGATGTCACTATGTTTCACAGTGAGCATGGTGTTTTTAGGGTATGAGCTTTCTACCACACTTAGCGTTTTGCATCTAAATCAAAATGTTCGATTTTGGTTTCATTTGACTAGAGCTCATTCAGTTACATTTTTAGTCTTTTTGTTGTGTATCTTATGGAAAACTGCAGAGGGCAAATCTTTCTACTTTATTCCAGTACTGAATTTCAGTGCTTTATGCCCCCCTGGAAACACTTTCAGCTTAGGTGAGCAGCTTTGCTTGCAGTTGTGCCATATTCTTTCCATTTTCATACAATGGACTGAACTTCTCCAAAGCTTGACCTGTTTGTCTTCATGCTGCTGTTTGTTCACCAATGTTCTCTAACAAACCTCTGAGGGCTTCATACTGACAGTCTTTTTAGCTGACTTCAGAGAGTTTTCTTTATTGTTTTTCTTTATAAAAAAAAAAGCTTTAAAGATATATATTATCTTATTTCCACTCCATAGTTATCCACTGCTTTGTGTTGGTCTGTCACAAAAAAAAATCTAAATTATATACTTTCTACTAAAGATAGTAGTTGTGATGTGAGAAGTATAAAAAAGTTCCATAAGTATTCATTCTTTTGCTAAGCATTACATATTTGTGTGTGTGTGCAAAATTACCCTTTTTAGGCATACTTTTATATGCACCAGAGACTTTAAATGATTGAATAACATAAAAAAAAACTTTTTACCTTTATAATATTCCACTGAAGAATATGGAAGAGGAATATCTAAAGAAAAAAGTAGCGCACTCATAACCATCAACTTTGTTTTTAAATGAAAGATTGAAAATTACATTTCACTTCTCGAGCGTTAGAATGAAAACGTAATATAAAAATAAGACATTTCCTTTTATTATTCTCTCAAAAGGGCTATTATCTGGTAAAGGTGAATGCATCCCAAGAAAGAAAAGCAACTATCATTCATCTTCTGCAATGCATGGCTGTAAATTATGGCATTATCTGCACTGCCACAGAAAAGAAAGGCTGAGATGAAGAGGGGGTGTTGAAAATAAAGAAAGTGATGTTGGGTGAAAAAAAAAAAGACAAAACTCCTCTACATGCACACACCCTTCAATCAACAAAAAAAAAAAAAAAGATTAGGCTCGGCCTCATCCGGTGGGGCCTGTCAGATTTATTTCCAGCATCAAGGAACTCTTCCCCTCTCTTCCAGTCCATCTCCATCAGAGCTCTGCCTGAGCTGCTGTGTGGCCAGAGCTGCTGTGTGGATGGAGGCTCAGGGTGGAAACTGGAGGAGGTGTGTCTGTACATTCACGAGGATGTTTTGGGAGGAGGCAGTAAAAAAAAAAAAAGCCGAGGTAGTTGCCAGGGCACACAGGGCCCCGTGGCATTCTGCGATGTCTGGGTTCCTGGCGTGCTCTGGGAGCACCAGTCACCAGCGGAGGTGAAAAGCAGTGTCACCATGATGAAAAGGGGCTTCCTCCCCCCCACCACCAATCCGTCTTCAGATCTGTGAGAAAATAATGAAAAAGACAGACGGATACGGGGAGACGGCGAAGGAGAGAGTTTTAGGGAGCGTAAAATCGCTCTCACTGTAGTTCATGTCAATATGTCTCGCATTTGAAATCCTTATTATAAATTGGGGTGTGGAAAAAGAAAGGGGGATGTGTTTTCATTGTTCAGGGACATGTGCTGTCTCACACACACTGCTCCCCTTGCCCAGACGCCTGTGCCACACCACCTACCTCTGTCGTTCTGCAATGTGTAACCTAGCAACTATTTAATTAAAATAGCATCAGCAAGGATAGAGGCTTTTTCCCTCCTCCCTTGCAAGGATTTTCTCCAATCTCAATACTTCTCAGCGCAACATGAATCAAAAGTGACGCTGTGTCTGCCACTATATTGTGCCCCCCTTCCTTTGTTTCTGCGTTTGTGGCGGTTTCCACAAAACTGACTTTCTTTGCTGACGGACAAAATGCGTTTGAGTGACATGTAAAGAGGAAAAAAATGTACTGAAAACATCAATGTCTTTATCAATAAATGTATTTTTAATCCTGCTATTGGCATGGAATTTAGAGCAGACACCAGTAAAATGCCAAGATTTCCAACACATAAAAATAAATCAAAACAAAGTTCACAAATTGTATGTAAGGTGGAAGGACAGGTGGAACATGTATTATAAAAATTATATATCTAAAAATAAAAAAACACATTATAGACACATTTCTATACTTGTGCATGTTTCAGTGAGCTGTCAAAATGTATATGTACTTTTAGAAGTAGAACAAAATAATCAAGAAGCTTGTTCAAAGCAGAGCTCCACTTGCAATGAAGTTCAGAAAGACCAGGATTCATAAGCTACAGTTCTTGCATGAAAACACTAAACAATGCATTCAACCACAATGTTGACTGTGAGCACTTGCTGCACAAAGACTCCACTGTAGAAGGAAAAGCATTTCGAAGCTGCCTTAAAGTCTGCTGCTGAACATTTGAACATTAAGCTCTTGAAGTACTGGTCAAAAATAGTCTGGTCAAAAGAAAGTATCAAAAAGAAAAAACACATACAACAGTAAAGTTTGGAGATGGGAACGTCATACAGTCGGACTGTCTTTAGCAATACGGTACTGCAGTACCTCATTAAATTGAATTGAGGATAAATGTACTGGGTTATTCTTAATCAGAGGCCTAAGATGAACTATCAAAGGATGATTTTTTTTTTTTTTGCTCAAGACACTAATACAAATAAACAGGCAATCACAGAGGAAGAAAACTGCTGGAATGGCTACGGCAATCATCCCAATTGAAAATTGATGGAAAGAATTCATGATCAAATAGCATTGAAAATTTGAAGAGAGTTTGTGCTGAAGAATGGGTCCAAATCATGCCTGGACTAAGCGCGCGAACACTTCCTCCATTCATTAATCCTCCTCAATCTACCATGACCAAAAAAGGTTTAAAAAAAAAATCACTGTGTGTCACTTACTTAGTCCCTCTGCCATTTATATAATTTCTTTGTAGGTCTGAATTAATTGGGTTGTGGAGTGATATCTAGTATTATTTTTTACTAGTAGCCCTATTAGAATGAATTCCATGTGTTCAGCACTCGTTTTTACCTCCGTATGTAGGTTGATGCTAAATGCCAGACCTTACTCTACAACAGACTTGCAGAAACAGGGCCGTCGACCTCTGTCCTTCAGAATACTCAGTCAGAAATGACAAAACGCCTCCCCTTTATGCTTTTCTCCTCCTACTCCTCTTATTTGTCTACCCCCCTCATGGCTGCATTTTTTTCTTCTTTGTATGGCAAAACACAGCACCTCCTGTTCCGACCTGAAAGGAGTTGCCTCTCACCATGCTCTACATGTGTGCCAGGCTCGGGCAACGCGGAGCAATTAGAGGAAATGTGAAGCAGCTCTACATGTCAGCGTACGCCACACTCACTGCCACTCAAACTGCATCTATGGGAAGCAAACAATGGAACAATGTTCTAGTTTATGGCTGTCAAAACAGAAGGCCCTGGCTGCTGTTTCTCTTACGCCTTTCGCTAGACCCCGTCGGTACCCTAATGTGTCACACAGAGTGGGGAAGTTAGCTGTTCTTTTCTTGATTTTCTGTAATGTCACATTGCGCCATTGTGCAAGTCCAAAGAAGTATACACATAGAACCTTTTTTATTGCTCTTCGTATGAGGAACTCTGTCAAACAGCGACGCAGTGAAAGTCATGGTAAATGGATGATTCAACATTCAAATGGGTACATTACAGGGTTCACCTCTGTCTCAGGCACCTTCATGCTTTCTACCAAAAGAATTTCACATTTCCGCCTCTTATAGCCCTCTCACCTTCGTTTCTCATTGTCTCCATTCCCTCTGCAGACATCACATTTCAAACACAGACATTTAATGCCAGCAAAAAAGAAAGAGAGTTAGAAAATGTAAAATGGATCCAATCACATAAAAGCTTCTGTCTAATAGTCACTCAGAAAATCACTCTCCACCCAATTTGAGAGGGTACTGCCACAAGACCCTTCCTTGTGTGATCTTTTCAATAAAATGTATCAGTGATGGAAAATCCTCTTGATTTGAATATATTCAAAAGTTGAGCATGAGTCTGACGTCTGTTGCATTGGAAGCTAAGCAGATCTGCATACAGTCACATTTTAATTTTAAATATTTTTTTTTAACTGTTGCTTTTTTTATTCTGTTACTTAATATTAAACTACATGATGCACCAGTGAAATAGTCAGAGTTCTGCATCTTTCCATTTTTTTTTTGTTGCTTTATCTTTATTGCCTTTGAAAAAAAAAAAAAAAGAAAATCAGATTTTATTTTCTGATTCACCAAGACTGTTATGCATCAGCTTAGGAACATATGCTTTAATACATAAAGTGTCATTTATTTTTATCCTTTCAGTTTCTTT